TTCTTTATGACTGCATAATATTCCATTGTGTATATGTACCACATTTTTAAAATCCAGTCCAGCTTCTATGAGCAGCATGGTTGGTTCCATGTTTTTGCTATTGTGAATAGTGCTGCAACAAACATGCAGGTATCTTTTTTGTACAATGATTTGAGTTCCTCCGGGTATATTCCCAGTAGGGGGATTGCTGGGTCATGCGGAAGATCAATTTCTAGTTCTTTCAGAAATTGCCACACTGTCTTCCAAAGAGGTTGCACTAGTTTGAATTCCCACCAGCAGTGCATTCCCACATCCTGCATCCTCACCAGCATCTGTTGCTGTTTGTTTTATTAATGATGGCTGTTCTTACTGGGGCTAGGTGGTATGTCAATGTGATTTTGATTTGCGTTTCTCTGACAATGAGTGAGGCTGAACACTTTTTCATGTGTCTGATGGCTGCCCGTATATCTTCTTTTGAGAAGACACACTGTCTTAAACCCGGTTTGTGCCTGTCTTTGCAAAAGTTTGCTGCATACCCTATGCAGCTCATGACTTCTGCATGATTCAAGGACCGCATAGCCACTTCACTGAGTTGGAAACACCCCACTTTTGGAATACCTTTGGTAGGAAGTGCTTCTGTTGGTCTAAGTGGAGAAAGGATGGCACCAGGGTGGGAGATGGGATCAGCCAACAGGTGTTTATTGGTGCCTGGCAGCAGGGAGCTTTCAAATAAGTTGGTAAAAATGTTTCTTTGAACCTGTTTAGGCTGGAGGCGGGATAAGAATGCAAATCAAAAAAATGGATAGGGAAACAAGACATATATTCCCATGATGAGATTATTTTTGCATTAAGGACCAGTTAATTGGCACAGACAGCAAGCTGACTGGAGTTCAGAGGGGAGAGAGAGATCCCCGCTTGCTGGGATGGCCGGGGAGAGCCCTCCATGTGGGAAATCAAGGGAAGTTGTTCCTCAAGTAAAGACCTGGATATGGCAGAAGGGCCTAGGGGCTGGGTCTCATGGACCAGAACCTCTGTGTATGGAATCTGAGGTCTGTGAGGCCCAGTAGTGGTGGCCTTGAAACCCACTGAAATAATGGAACCCTCAATGGCTGCTTGCCCCAGGTCGCTGGGATTCCACACAAAGGGCATGAAGTGTAGAGCCTGGAGATGTTCAAACCCTGCTGTTCCTATTAGGGTGGATGATTTTGGGTCATTCATTCAACGCCTTCTTTTCTGTGAAGTGGAGCTAAAAGGTAACAGTGGCACCTGCCTCCCCAGATTCTTGTCGTGGATATGTGAACTGGCGTAAGTGAATACACCAGGCTCGTAGGAGCCAGGACCAGCTGGTATGGGGGCAACTTGGGCAACTGCTCCTTGGTCCTTTTCGGGGGAATCAGCAACTGTGACTCAGTGGCCCGGTGCTGGGCACTGAGCGTGGGTCCTTGGTGAAGGTTTGTAGAACTGGATGGTTCTAGTATTCATAGGCTTGTTTTTCATTTTCCAAACTCTGCCTCCCATGCTTGGAGCCAGCCAGATTATGCTGAGTCTTGGGCTGGCATCACTGCCCCTGTCTCAGGGGACCTTCTGCCCATCACAGCCACTGGTCCTGGGGAGAGGGTGACGGGGGGGCGGAGATTTGCCTTGAGGCATCATGCTGTTTCTTCCTTTGTCCGTCCACAGCCTATCACCACAGAGAGCGCACCAAAAAATGTAGTGGACACGGTGAGTGAAGGTGGTGGGCAGGGGCTGAGGATGGGGGGGGTCTGGGGACTGCTCGCTTAGGCAAGAGTGTGGAGGCCTGAAAGGGGAGGGGAGGGTGGAGCTAGGGGGAGATTGAACAGATGTGGCAGGGGACATCCTTCTGGAGTAGATTTGGGGAAGGTGGGGGGAAGTGGTGGGGTGTGGATGCTGGTGACTGTGAGGCATATGACCATTCCAGCGTGTTCGGAACTGGGTTAGTGGGGAATTGGGCAGGCGGGGCGGGAGCTGGGAAGGAGGAGCCGGTGGCTAAATGTTAGCTTCTCTATTAAATATGTAGAATGTGACAAAGCCAGACAGATCTTTCCAAAAAGATCTTTTTGACTCAGCAGAGAGCCAGTTTCCTCAAGGCTGCATGGAAGAGGAAGGGTGGAAAGTGGACGGGTTCGCAGTGGGGAAACCGAGGTTAGCCGCAGAGAGGCGTCTCCCAGCAATGGCCAGCGTGCAATCATGGGCTTGGAGTTGGGGGACTTGGGTTTGAATCCCGACTCTGCCAAGGTTCTATAGGCAAAAGCCCGAGCCTGTCTTTGCCTTGGTTTTCTTATCCGCAAAATGGGAATAATAGTATTCCCATTCACGAGATATAAATGAGAGGGTTTATGTAGCTCTGAGGGGCCCTTAGTGGACTAAGAAATGTGAAACAAGCAACAAGTCTGCTTCCAGGCCCTTCTGCCAACCCTCCTCACCCTCCGCCCCTGACAAACCGGGCAGCTGGAAGACCCGGGTGCCCTTTCATGACGTTTCCTGACTGCTCTCTGACTGCCTTTTCTCTGTCTACAGGGAGAAGGAGCCTCCCGGGGTGGAACCACACGGAAAAGCCTCGAGGACAACGTACGTGCGGGGAGGGCAAGGAGGAGGATGTGGCTGGGCCTCTGGTGGCTGGAGGAGTGGGTGGGCATGGAGCATGTTCTGTGGGCTTACCCCCTCCGGAAGAGCAGGCCGGGGTCACTCAGCACCAGGGCTCACGCTGGGCCCCATCCTTGGCTGCTGCCTCCATTGAAACCGGATCCAGAGTTCATTTGCCCCTGATGGTGCCAGGCCTCCATGCTCCAGGGTGGGAGGGAGGAGGGGACATGCTGGGGAGCCGACACGGAGATGACGGAAGGGAAATGGGCAAAACCACAGCCAGAGGGACCGAGGGCTGGGATGAGGGACTCCTGGGTCCCCTAGGGTGTCTCAGACCTCGGGGGAATTGAAGGATCTGCTTCTTTGTAGACCAGGCATCTTTGACAATGGCAGATGCCTCTGTGTGGCCTACACGTCACTGGTTTAGGAGGGAGCTGAGAGATGGGCTAGTCGGTGTCCCCTTGGGCTCCTCCTGCCTTGCATTTTAGCGGGTAGGGAGTGGGTGAATTCCTGAAATGGAAGGGCCCCACAGAGGGGCCCAGGGGGCTCTTCCAGGCTCTGCTCTGAGCCATGCTTGTGACTGGGCTCATCTCTGTGCCCCAGGGGCGGACCCCCAGCAGAGTCAGGCTTGCATCTTTCTTTCCTGCCCAGCTCTTACAGCAAGCCCTGTGCTGGCCTCTCCATCTCCACCCGCCCTGGGCTGTAGAGGAACAGGGAGTGGTTTTGGCGGTTGGCACAGGGGGAGCTGTTGATGGCACGAGGCCCTATCATCTGACAGCTGCCTGACCCATGGTGGGGAGGGCCCTGGAGGGAGCACTGTGGGGAACAGGAGGGCAGCTCCTGCAGGCAGCCACACTCCTGTGGTGAGCCCACTGCCACTGCCACATTGCCCTGGGGCAGCCCTGCACCGCCAGCCCTAGCAAGCGGAGGCCTCCCAAGGGCCACACGGGCGCCTCCAGCGGAGCAGGGAGCATGCCTCTCAAAGTAGCGGGGAAGGCTGTGCTCAAGGTATGCGTGGGTTCCTCTAGGCATGGGGTACTTGTGTTAGGGAGGGCCCATGTCCAGGTGTGTGATGTCTCTGGGGCTGGGGTGCGGGGGAAACGAATTTTTTGTGCTCCCGAGGATGAACCAGCTTAGGGTACTCACAGTACGTAATATGTGCTCAATAAATGTTAGCCATTCTTTGGCCTCATTTGACTCAGGGCCAGGAGCTGGGCTGGGTGTCTTTAGGTCCTTATGGCACCCCAGTATGGCAGATGCTAGGGCCCCCCTTTGATAGCTGAGGTTTGGAGTCACTCAGTGGATGACACTCCATCCCTTCCTGGGACTGCTGCTTGGATCTGGTGTCATCCAAGGCCCCCGAACCCTTGGCCAGGGCACAGGGAGATGGCGTGTAAAACAAGTCCTTTAGCCGGTGGTCTGGGCACACTTAGGGGCCAGGTCCTAAAGCTGCTGTCCATCACATTCACAGCCTGAGCCGGACGGATCCTGTAAGCTAGATCTTGTAAGCCGCAGTGAGAGAGAGTGAAGTTAGACATCACGAAGAACTTTTAATTGCAAGGGTGTGTGTGTGACCTTGGTCCTAGGGAAGAAAGAAGGCCATTTAGTTGGGATTGGAGGCTATTTGTTTTTCTTTCTTTCTTTCTTTTTTCTTGAAGGAAAGTATTTGTGATCTGGAATGAATGTGTCTGTGTGTTGACATGGTAAGGGTGGTGTCTTGTCTGGATGTGGGAGGAGGGACGGATGGGATTTGGGAAGGTAAGCAAGTGAGAAGATTTTAGAATGGCCTGCATACTGCAAAGAAGGCGGGGAAACCTAAGTTTTTTTGGTTTGGTTTGGTTTTTTTTTAAGAAAGCAGGATTATTGAGGGGACAGAAAACCTCCCACCGTGGGAGGGGACCCGAAGGGGTTGCCTGAAACCTAAGTTCTAAGGCTCCCATCACCCGTCTCAGGTTGTGGGACTCCAGGGTCATTGAGTCGGTCCCCTGCCCGACCTTGGGACTCTCCTGCAGTCTGCCCGAGCGAGGAGCGCCTAGGCCTGCTGCTGCCGCGGTGTGCCTGTCTGTGGGGCTGCACCCCTGCCTCTGGCCCTGGGCCTGGGACTCACAGGCAGGGATGGCTGTTTTCCTCCTGCAGAGCCGCTGCGTGGTGGAGTTTGCGGACAGTGTGCTGTGTCGCACTTTGTTTTGGAAAAATCCAGGCTGGTGGGCAGGAAGGAGAGAGGAAGGGGTGTGGCTGGAGGGGGTGGTATGGGGGGGAGGTGGCTGCAGCCCCCAGAGGAGAGGTAGGAATGGAGCTGGCCCCCTGACGTGGGGCGGCGGCCTGACATAGCCCCGGTGTTCCCTTACAGACCCTCCTCCCAACCAGGCCCCCTGGGGACTGGGGCTCAGGAAACGGCCTTTCTTTCGGTCCAGAGCTGTTGTGTTTGGTCTGTGGACCTCAAAGGAAGACAGAGCTCTTCCCACAGAGGCGCTGCTCCAAACCAACCCCACCCAAGGCCAGGGGTTCCTGCTCCTTGCCACATGGCGGGGAAGAAGGCGGCAGATAACGGAGCCTAGGGTCACAGACCCTGGGCCACCCAGGAGTGCCAGCTCCTGCCTGCAGGGAGGACCAAGTCAGAAAGGGTTGGCTGAGTCTGCAGCAGGAAGGATGAGGGTTAGATACCAGGAGAAACTTCCTGACAACGAGAGAAGTAAGACCCTGTTTTGAGGACACTGTGGCATTTCCTTTCATGGTATTCCTTCAGCAAAGGAGAGACTGTGTTTTGGAGGTGAGGCTAGGGGACAGTTCTGTTTGGTGTTTAGAGAGTTGGATCAAAAATTCTTTTATTGATCTATGCCTTTGGAGGGGCAAGCAGGAAGCTCAAAGCCACCTGAGTAAGATCCCCAGAGAGGAAAAGAATGGGATTACAGGAAGCCAGAGAACTTATTCCTTTTCTAAAACAAAGTTTGTAGTCTCAGCACTCTGGGAGGCCAAGATGAGAGGATTGCCTGAGCCCACGGGTTTGGGACCAGCCTGGGCAACTTGGTGAGACCTCATCTCTACAACAAATCAAAAAGTTAGCTGGGCATGGTGGCATACATGCCTGTGGAACCAGCTACTTGGAAGGCTGAGGCGGAAGGATCACCTGAGCCCAGCAGGTCGAGGCTGCGGTGGCCGTGAGTGTGCCACTATACTCCAGCCTGGGCGACAGAGTGAGACTCCAACTCAAAATAAAGGAGGGAAGGAAGGAAGGAAGAAAGAAAGAAAACGTTTGTAGCATCCTGTGGTAATATCCCCTAGAGGCTCTAAGTGGAGTAGGTAGGAAACCTTGTGAGCACAGTGCTGTACCCATTTCACGGATAAGTAGCTAAGACTGAGACTCAGGCCTGGCTCGGTGGCTCAGCCTCTAATCGCAGCGCTTTGGGAGGCCGAGGTGAGTGGATTGCCTGAGCCTGCAGGTTTGAGACCCGCTTGGGCAACTTGGCGAGACCTCATCTCTACAATAAATAAAAAATTAGCTGGGCGTGGTAGCATGCGCCTGTAATTTCAGCTACTGGGAAGGCTGAGGGGGAAGGATCACCGGAGCCCAGCAGGTCGAGGCTGTGGTGGCCAGGAGTGTGCCACTGCAC